TCTCTAATAATTCCTTCTGTGCCTCCTTTGCTAGTTCCTCTTTTTCAGGTTGACTTCATAGTATGACAGTTCCCTAAGCGTCTAGCCTTGGTCTTTTCTCTCTAACCACTTTCCCTTAATTTCATTCACTACCATAAATTCAACTACTACCTTTATTCAGGAGATTTCCAAAACTATCTCTTTAAGCTAGATCACTCTTCTGAGCCCCAGACATTCAACTGTCCATACATCTTTACCTGGATGCACCACTAGCTCTTGAAAGGCAACATTTCCATTCAAAACCAAGCTTATCATTCCCATTAAACCTGCTCTTTCTTCTGACTTCACTACTTCTATCTAAGTTCCCATCTTGTTCATAATCTTGGGATTTTCTTTGACCTTTCTCTCTCCCTCAAATCTTAGTCAATGACCAATTATGTTATAAATTTCACCTCTAAAACATTTCTTATGTCTGTTATCTCTCTATCTCCAATGCCAAAACCTTAGTGCAGGCCCTTATTACCATAGATCTGAACAACTATCATGGTCTAACAGGCCCCCTCATCTCTCTTTCTTCTCTAGTCCACCTCACATACGACTAGAATAATCTATCTTCAACATTCATCCAGTAAATATACTTCTAGCCTCAAAAACTTTCAAGGTTCCATATTGTTTACTGAGCAAAGTTCAAAACCTTTTACCATAGTCTGCCATAAATCAACCTGTCTGGCTAAACTCACATTGCTACCTTCATGCACTCGATATTACAGCCAAACCAGACTGCTCTATTCTTCCAATTACGTACTATGCGTTCCTGTATCCTTGCCTTTTTCCCACACTGTTTCTGATGGGTGGAATGAATATATTTTCTTTGCCTACTGAATTTCTACCAATCTAAAATCTAATTTATGTGCTAACTAAAGGAATCATTCCACAATACCCTTCCCCACTCCTCTGCCCAGAGCTGGCTGTGGTCTTATTCAGGTTTCATAAGGTACTTTATTTTGCAACTCCCTGCACTTTTCACATATCTACCGCAGGGCACAACACTGGGGTTGTTCTACATACATTAAAAACATAATTAATGCTTATCATTGTGGGTGAATTATAATTTGAATGGTATTTCCACAAGTTGAGAAATTTGCTCACACACACATACTTATTTGTTGAGCATCTATTATGTAGTCTAGTCACGTACTAATAGGATGTTAAGAAGTATGAGGGTAATGGCAGCCCAGGGCCCTCAAGGAGCTTACAATTTAATTACAATTTAATTAATTAAGACTATACTTGAACCAATTATTGATTGAACAACGTACGATAGTATATAACGAAGTGCTAAATCACACAGTGTAGGAGCTCTAAGAAGGGAAAGGTCATTGAGAATTAGAACAGTGAAGTCCAAGTTTAGAGATGAAGGGGAGTTTCTTCTGTGTCTTAAAGGGCAGGGATGATTTGAATCTATGGAGAAGACAGTGAAGAGTATGCCTAGCAAAGGTGACAACAGGAACCTCAAATAGGGCATCGCATACATTTAGGATACTAAAGAAAGAATACTAAACATAGACAACACGTAGGGATGCTAGCAGAGGAACCCTAATTCTTTAGTAGGCATTTTTATTTGTATATTTGGTGATGAATAAGAGTCCTACTTTCAAAACTGAAAAAGGGGACTGGAAAATTGATTCAATCATTTGGTGGACTGATTATCAATTCATTTTTTGCTCTTTAAATTTATGACTTGCTTTTGGCGGTATTTTTCTAGTTTTTAATCAATCTACTTAAAATACATTTACTGAGCACACACTATGTACCCTATACTGTATTAGGCATAGTAGGCATTACAAACTATTAGACGATCCCATCCCTCAAGAAAGTAACAATGTAATTTGGAAGCCCCTTAAAATTAGAATTATCACCAGAGAAGAGAACTAGGAGGTAAAACATAAATCTGTCATTTTTGTTATCTGTAAACAGCATTGTTTACAAATAATATGACTGGCAAATATGTAAACTATAAGCTAAAATGACATTATTTATACTACCACCTACCATGCCACCAGAAAATCAAGAGTTAATTGTACTTTCTACCCACATATTAGTTAGTCCTCAGTTTTTCATAAGTCTATGATGCGAAAATCAATACTATGCAAACTAAAGAAAAAGAAGACTGAAATGTTATGTTGGTATTCACACGCATTTTTACATATTCTTCTATAATACATGATTAATGCTGCATTCTACTTCCAACTACTCAGAAAGAGTGCAACAATGCCTTCTAGAATGAAATGGGGAATTATACTAAAGTACAGAGCCTTAAAAAATTTATTTTTTGCACATAAAAAACAATGAACCACAATTTGAAACAATGATGGCAGTGAATACATTTACATTGCATATTTAACAGCAGCTGATTTTTAAAAGTCAATAAAATAGCTTAGAAATTAGACTCTACTTGCTAAAGCAGGTAAGGCTAAACACTGCATATACTTATCCAAAATATTAATCTGTCACTGCAGAATTATGTAAAAGAAAACACATTTTTGTCAAGATTATATCACTTAGCAGTTACGACACAATAACTAGTCAGTATAACATTTAATATAAAAACAAAAAACCCCCAAATCACTACAGAACCAAAACTGATACTTTTAATTTGCCCCCAAAAGATGTCAATTTTTAAGCTCAATCAGTAGCAGAAATGTACAAACTAGGGAAATAAGGAGGATGAGAAGTTCGGAAAGACAGTAGAGGGAAAATCCAAGGTAGACAAATTTAAGTCCTCCACATCCAGCCAACATACAAAAATCTCTTAGCAATATACCAATGTTAAATATTGAGGAAAACCTGTAGAGCAATCAAGGTTTCTGGTATAAATGTTTTCATCAATGTTAATAGGTCAACACTGTTCTGCTTAGGTATCAAAGAGATTAAATTTCCTATAGAGAATGTGAATTTCACTTGAGGATGATTTTCTATTTTTATTTAATGCCCTGATAAGTACAGCTGAACTAGAGGCTTGTTCTGATCTGATCTCGGTCCCTTTATGATTCTCTTGCTAATCCCACAGATCCTCACTTTGCTCTCTATTATTAAATCCTGATGAATATAGCTCTATACCCTGTGGCTGTAGACTGAAGTGGGGGCAAAGGTAGGGGGAATAAAACACAATGAAAAAAAATAACAAAAAAGCAAATAAATCTGCATTTAATTTTGACCAGTGCATAGTCCCCATTCTAAAAAGCTTTCACTAAGTCATCACAGCTCTATCCCTTAAGCTACTAAGGCAACTTTTTCTCATACATTTTATGCTTCTTTTCCCTGAAGAGGAGTTTGGACTTCAACCTCAGACCCCACCACATCACCAGGAATGCCTCTAAAGGAAGCACAGAACTGAAAACTGAAAACAGTTATAGGAAGGATCTCATTTTATACTTTCCCTCAAAAGAAGCATTCAGAGGACCCTGGATTTGAGGCTGAAAAGGACCTTAGATCATCTAGTACAACATATTCATTTTACAAATGAGAAAACTGAGATTCAAGGATATTTCAAAGGGGCAGCTAGGTGGCGCAGTGGATAGAGCACTGGCCCTGAAGTCAGGAGGACCTGAGTTCAAATCCAGCCTCAGACCAAACACTTGACACTTACTAGCTGTGTGACCCTGGGCATGTCACTTAACCCCAATTGCCTTAAAAAAAAAAAAGTATTTCAAAAACACACACACATACATCCATGTCTGCCAGAAACAGTAACTCAATCAAGATTCAAATGCACTATACCACTTTAATTGCAGTGTTTTAATTACTGATCTTATGTATCTCAGTTCTAGTATATTTACCTATTTAAATTTGCAATGTATATTCTTGTTTTTTTTTTCTTTATGGAGGCACCTGCTAACTGAATTCTTGTCTAGAGATTACCTTTAAATTTAGATAAAATACCTAATCTTCAGGAAGCTCAATTACTATATGTGTAAAATGGAGATGTGGGACTAGATGAAATTTAGGGTTCCACTTAATTATATAATCATATTATTCCAAGACTGTGTTGCTGTGTTATGATAATGCTGGATTATCATCTGCCTCCTGCCTCCTAACTGTGATTTATCCCACAAGGCTCTGTCCTGGAGTCTTTGTTTATACACTTTCTTTTGGTAATTTCATTATTTTCCCTTAGGTTCGGTTATCTGTATGGAGAAAGTTTCCAAATCTAAACATCCAGTTCTAATCTGTCTTCTGAACTTTAATCTTGCATTATGAACTGTCTGCTGCACGCCCAAATGTCCATAAGCATTTCAATTTCCACCTATCCTGGAATTCATTATTTTTCCCCATAAATCCAACTCTTGTTCACATTTCCATGGTTTTTTTTGGGGTACCACTATCTAACCAGGCATTGAGGTTCATATCTTCAAAATCATCCTTCACTATTTCCTCTCACTGACTCTTCCCCTCATATCAAATGAATTGCTAAGTCATTTTTCCTCCAGAATATCTATGACATCTCACAGGACCACCAACCTAGTTCAAGACATCATCTTTTGCCTGGATTACTGCAGCTACCTCCTAACTGTTGGCCAAAATAATCTTCCTTCAAGTATAGGTCTTATCACATTACTTCCAATTTGGCTTCTAGGTACCAATTCCAGAACCCTCATAGCCTTCCTTCTTTCAAAACTGGAATTTTATTTGTGGGGATTTTATCTCAAACATCGTTTATAAAAGTTCTTTAGAATTAGTAACAGCTTGGTATAATAGAGTAAAGAACTGGCCATGTAGTCAGGAAGACCTAGGTTCACATGTGGCCTCAGTCAAAAACTATACAACTTTGAATAAACAAGTCATGGAATTTCTGTGCTGCAGGCAATTCTCACATTAAGTTGAAGATAATCTCCCTGCACTAGTGAAGTGAGTTTCCACAAGGAGTTTCCTACATAGATGACATTACAAATTAAGACCAGAAATTTTTTTTAAAAATAGAATAAACAAATGAATAAAAATAACAGAAACTGGGCACATACTTAGCAAGTTGCTTCTCAGCATCGGCACAAAGCTCAAGAAGGCCCATCAGGACAGCAGACACATCCATATACGGCTCCCATACTGTAAAACCTCGTCCAATTAGATCAATAGCAGTTCTTCTGATTGTGCTATGTGGAGGGAGTTTAGGACTAGGTGGTTGTAGGAGAAGGAATGTCAATGCCTTGCCTAAGGTACAAAACAAAATGCAAATGAATATGTTAATTTTGCTTCTTAGATTTTTTTTTTTTTGCTGAGACAAGTTTTCACATGGTATTTCAGACATTAGATCGAATTAGACACCAATTCAGAATATAAAGTAGTGTACTGTGACGATAAGATATGCTTCTAATTCATAGATAAGTAAATCACAAACCTTAAGCATCTTAATAAAATGACCAAAGTAGAAATTAGTTCTCTCTATGTAGACTATAGAAAAGTCATTATATTAACTTATGTTTAATATTCCAAAAATATTTTTTAAATTGAACAACAAAAAATATTTCTACCAAAAGCATAGTTGTTCCCCTTAACATGAGGTGGCAGAGTACAGTGGAAAAGGCACTGGATTTGGAGGCAGGAGATCCAAATTCAAATTCCAGTTCTGCTACCTATGAGCTCCATGGGAACTTGGAGAGAAAATACTGGAAAAAGTGCTGGACCCAAAGTCAGAAACACTTGGATTCGAATTCTCACACACTTACTAATTGTGTGACCCTTGGCAAATCACTTCACCTCTCTCTCCTCAGACTCCTCATCTGTAAAATAAGGGATTTACACTTAATGACTTATAAGGCCCTTTCCTGTTCTAAAACCATGATGATTTGAACTTCCTAAAAGATGTTTTTCCTACTTAGTGATCTGCAAAATATAGTTATCTTCCCCTTTTCCTAAGCTAAGACAGCACTGTAATTGTCTCCTTTAGTATGCATTTTAATTACTGAATTTGCTGGCAACTTGTTCCTGGGAAGGGCTCCCAAACCACTCAGTTCAGACCTATTCACAGAACTCAAGGCTTTACCTGCTCAATATCAAAACCAGTTGTCGTTGCTTCCCCCATCCCTTAAGAGTTGGCTCAGATTCCCTTCAGGATTGACTGTGGCCAATTGTGTTCCCTACAGTTCTCCTGGCACTTTATAGCTGATACTATCCTAATTCTCTCCATCCCCAGGTTTCAACATCAGAGAAGACTTTTCATTCTATGACTTCCGTCTCTGATAGCAGCGCAAGTATTGTGAAAAAAGAACTATTACAGAGAGGCACAGTGGATAGAGCTTGCACCAGTGGTCAGAAAGATCTGGCTATACTCATACTCTAGATTTTTTTTTTAAGTTGAGAAGGTATTTTGAAATCTATTAAGGGTCATGACATATTATTGGTATTTCAAAGGTGGCCAACACTCAAGGAAGAATCATCAAATGGTCAATCAACTGGTAATGAGCCTTTTCATATTAGTCAGGTTGGTCTCTGGATATAATATATGGCAAGAACCATGTGAGGAACCCTTTCATAGGAGGATTGTCAGAGCATGCCTTTCTCTAGCACAGCCTTCAAGATCTCAAGGTCACCTGGGACATGGTGACATAATAAGACTTCACTTAACATTTATTAAACCAATGCACATGGCTAGGTGCTGAGGATAAAAAAACAAAAACAAAAACTATCCCTTCCTTCTAACAGCTACATCTTCCTGGGTAGGAAACAAGAAGGTTAAGAGTAATGAGGACAATCACCAGTCATTCTCACAGGAGAAAGCGCTAACATCTGTGGAGTCTGTGAAGAGAAGGATTCCAGAAGAAATGGAAACTGAACTAAGACTTGAAAGAAGAGATAGATTCTGAAAGGCCAAGATAGGAAGGGAGAGTACATCGTATGAATGGATTCAGAGGCAAGAGGTAGAAAGCTGTCCATCTCGTCTGGAACAGAGTCTACGAAAGAAAGTACATAAGGTTGGAAAGGTAGGTTGGAAGCAGATTGTCAATCAATAAGCATTTATTAAATTTTAAATGTGTGCTAAGCACCAGGGATAAAAAGGCAAAAACACAGTCCTAGCCCTTGAGGAGCTCCTATGCAAATGGGGGAGAGTACATGTAAATAAACAGGTACATAAAAGAGATATACAGTGTAGATGGAAGGTAATCTCACAGCACTTAAAGCTATCTTTCTGAGAGGTGGACACAGTAAAACTTTTAAGGTCATTGAAAAAATTGTGAAAAGCCTTAAATGCTAGTCTAAGGCATTTAGATTTTATTGTAAAAGCAGTAAGAAGGGAAACATTAATATTTTTGAGCACAGAAGTGATATGGTTACTCCTGTACTTTAGGAAAGGTGTTTTTTTGGAGGGGAGAAGGGCAGCCCTGTGAAGAGTGGATTAGAAAGGGAAAGACTGAAGGCAGGAAAGCTAACAAGGAGGCAATTTATAACAGTCCAGAGAAGAGGTGATAGCCCTTGATTAAAAAGAAGGGGATAGAAGAGTTAGAATCAATAGGATGTGGCAAATGATTGGCTATGCAGTCAAGAAGAGGAAAGAATTATGGATGATTAGATCATAAAAGTAAATACCTATGGTGAGAGAATTAAAATGGCAATTATTCACATAAAGAAAATTGTTTTCTTATCCATCGTATATTCTATATGATCAATTCATCTACAAAAATTAAGACAAAAATTAAACTGTCTCATATTTGAAACAATCTATATGCATCTATCCACATTTATACATAAAATTACAAATACAAATGTGTATAATATGTGTATAAATATGGATGACTTCTTAGCACATATATTTTTTATGGTTCCATTATATTATGTAGCTTTATTTAGATACTGGTTAAGGACCCAACTGGAATGCTTTCTAGGAGAGTCTTTTTTGTTTGTTTTTGAAGAAAGGAATTCTTTGTGGTGTTGTTTGTCTTTCTTGGAAGATATAACTAAATACATCCAGTCATTGTAAACAAATCTTCAACAGAATAACTATCAAAGTTCAGAAGCAAAAACAAACAAACAAAAAAATTATGTCATTCAAAGTCCCTTGTGTGCCTTGTATTACCTTGAACAATTCATTCCACCTTTGAGGGTGGCTACCAATGCAGAAAATAGCAAAAATAGTTTTGCTGCATCACTAGGTTTCTCCATCTTTAAAAGCCACAGTCTTTATACTCCACATCTCCACTCCCTATTTCACAGCTGCACTTAGCATGATAACAGTGAATATTATATATACACTGCTGATATTCCCCATCTTTTCCTCTTGGTCTCCAATTTCACATAAAGGAATGGAAATGGCAATATTTAGAAAATATCTTGTTGCTCCTCTGCTTGCAAAGCTTTGGGTAGCCTTGACTCTTTTCCTTCTAACATTGTATGTATGCTCAGGGGTTTCCCCTTGCACTGTTACACTGACTACTACCTACTCTTCCTCCAGCAGTTTATCTTACAAACCTTTCCCTAGTTCTTGCAATGTGACTTTTTTTGTTTCTGTGTCCTCTATCAGTTTAGATCTGTGTCCTCCATCGGTTTAGATCTGTGTCCTCCTTTTCCTTCAGAATGATCTTTCTTGTTTTTGATTCTTTCTTCCACAGGTGACCCACTTCTTCCTCTTTTTTCAGGGTGATCATTGTTTTTACTTCCTGCAACACTTTATTCTGTTTCTAACTCTACTTCCAACTTTGCCACTCGCAATTTTACATTTTCCTGGACCAAATCTCTTCTGGCTTTAATTCATATTTTCTCTTTTCTTCCGCTTTTACTGGCTTACTTGTCACATATTGCTTTTTTTTTGTGGTGTGGGTATTTTTGCTTTATCTTCCATCTCATGAATGAGATGAATGAGAATTCATGTCATCTTTTTTTCTGCTTGATATTTTTGGGCATTATTTCATCTTCCATGTTGCTATCCCAGTCTTGCACTCTTATTTGCTTGAGCTTTAGTAGCCTTTTCCTTGATGCCAGTCTCTCTGATCTTATTTTATGCATTAAATGAGAGCACAACATGTTTGTAGAATTTCAGTTATAGTGCCACTGAAGTTTTCTTCCATTTCTCAGCACATATATTCTTAAAAGGATATCAGAAAGGGGTTTTCACTTATCTGTTCAATAAATTTATTATTAATATTCTAAAAGATAGTTATATATTTAAACAAAAAGCTACCTATAGTGAACAATAAGTTTTCATATTTTTAACACTAGAACAGGGCCCGGCACATAGCAGGTACTTAAAACACATTTTGTCTTATACGCAGAGTTGAAATGTAGGTAGCATTATTACAGGCAATTAATAGAGGAAAAAGTGAAAACCTAAACAAACTACTGATCATTATGATTTTCTAAGTAGCTTTTAAAAATTATAGGGAAATAGAGAGTCCTAATATCATTACTGTAACTATAAACTTTGCTATTATCCAGACACTTTGACAATCAAAATGGAAAAGACAAAGACTTATTTAAAAACAATACATATACAATAAGACTGTTGTATTAACTTATTAAAACTAAACTTATTTACCACACAAAAAGATACACAATTTGTAGGAATCTAATTAGATTTTAAATCCCTCTCTACTTCTTAAGTAACCATACAGACTTTAACTAAAGAGTTTTACGATTGGTTGAAGAGAGGGACACTGGATCAGAATTTTCATTAATTATCCTTCTCACCTCATCAGCAACTTTCTTATTCAATTAGCAAAAACAACAAATTTCGGTCACCCAGCCAAAAATCACCATGCAGTAGTGTTGGCTCATTAATCAGCACTCAAAATTTTATGGCATAGAAAATATGAACAGAGATAACATATAATGTATTTACAAAGAGAAAAATGTGTTTGATTTAAATCTCATTTCCATTGGTCAGTGCTAATTATTTTTATAAAGTAAATATTAAAATTATACGAAAAAGAACAAGAACAATTCTGTGCTTTATAGAAGAAAGAAACAAAAGAAGTAAATCTTGCATTTAAGTTGATAAAACTTATCTGACATCTCTATAAACCAAAATAGTATATTAAATAACTTTCAATCTTGATAAAATAATTTTAAATGTTTAAACCTGAAATCCTCTAAGCAGAAAATTTTTAAATATATTTTTTTCAACAAAAAAAAAAACCAGAATACAAAATCTGCCCTCTTCTACAAAAATTATAAATGTTCAACCTCAGACTTTCTGTGAATGATGTAAGCATGTTTAGTGA